ATCAATAGTACAACCACCCCGACAACTACAACTACAACTACGACGCCAACGCCGACGACGACGACGACGACGACGACGACGACGATGATGGGGTGTCCCCTTCCCCTATTTTTCCTCACCCTTCCCCGGCTTGGCAACCCTCTTCCCCACCGAGTCGTCCATACACGCGGCATGAGAACGTTTTCTCTAGCAGTACATATAGTTAATGAACCTGGAAGAACCTATTTGCTCTCGCTTCCACGTAGAAAAAGGGAGAGAGGGTTATCGTTGGATATATAATCTCGTTGTTCAACCCATCACATATGGGGTGTCCGATTTTAATCGAAGCAAAAAAAAGAAAGAAATAAAAGCGAAGCGTGTAATCCTCTTCGCTCTCGGTTTACATACAGATATACATATATATACATATACATATATACATATATACATATATATATATATATGTATACACATAGACACACATATATTCTTTTCTAGTCTCTCTTTCCCGGACTAGTGGCAAGGAAAGTGGCACGAAATTCGGCCAGAGTTCGAACATTCGTCAAAGGGAGACTTCAATGCTCGCTGAAAAATATTCTTCCCTGAAGAGCGAAGGGGTAGTGATGTTGAATTTTATCGAAAATTTTTTGTACGCATGAAAGCATTTATATGAAATAGAGAGAGAGAGAGAGAGAGAGAGAGAGATTGAGAGATAAAAAGCCTCCGTTTGATTTCCATTGTGCCCTAAATTACCATGCGATATTTTTTTTCTTTTTCCATTTTCCACAAACAATCGAGAAAGGGATGGTTGTTTAGCTAAAGGTCAATGTGTCCAATTAACCGTGTTGATCAAGTTAGATTTTATATAATGTACATAATATGTACCTGTGTGTAAAGCGAATCTTTGAACTATTTTATAATGATGTCATCGTGTGAAGGAATCGACTTGTAACATTTTGAGATAATCGGTCATCCTAGAAATTCAACAAAGGGCATTTTATCATTGGATTATTTTTGTGTCACTGAGCGACCCCTGACGTCTAACATTTCGAATTAATTAATCGTGTTAAGAATTAAAGGAGAATCGTTTTGAATCGAAAAAAAATGCAGTAGCGAGTAATCGCCTAAATAAAAATAAATCAGGAAAATCATAACAATGCATTGAGATTATTGCGTTTGTCGTGACTGTTATCCACCTGTCTCTCTCTCTCTCTCTCTCTCTCTCTCTCTCTCTCTCTCTCTCTCTCTCTCTCTCTCTCTCTGTCATTCGTTCATCGATAATTGTCTTCTCCTTCTTTTTAAGGGGGTAATGCACATTGATGAAAGTGAAAAGCTGTATGCACTATTCGCGTATCTTACACGATCCGCCTGCGAATTTTTTATTTTCATAGAAACATCTCGTAGGAGAAATGAAGAAGAAAATTTGAGTTGAAACTGCGAAAAAAAAAGCAGAAAAAAAAGGAATTTTTATATTTTGGAAAGATATTGAAGCAACTCGAAATATGACGAGTGACACAGCCATATACGCATTTATTCAATATACATACGTAAAGAGAAAGAGACAGCGAGCAAAATATCGATCGACGAAAGCGAGAGTGTCGAGAGTACTTTCTTCTTTTGCTTTTTTTCTCTTTTCACTTTTCCCGCGAAAAGAAAGGCTTCTTTCTTTCGTTCCGCTATTTTTTCTTTCTCTCACTCACGAATTCTCGGACGTATTTCTTTTCCTTTTCGCGAAGAAACAAAAGGGGAGAAGCTATTTCTTCTTCTTTTTTTTTTTCTTTTTTGTCTTTTCTTTCCTTCTCTTTCATCGAAGAGAGTCGATCAACGAAAACGAGAGTGACTCGTGGCCACGAAGGAAAGAAAGATATAAAAATAAAGAGTCTATCTGAGAGAGGCAAAACACCTACCGATTCTGAAGTGTGATTCTCTCAAAGATCTCTCAAAGGTCACCCGAAAAAGTGGGCGAGAAAAAGTTCAATGACCTCCGAAGATACTTTACGAAGGAAAGACAGAGAGTAAAAGCCAATTGATTTTCTTTTACAATATTTCAAAGCTTTCTTCGATTTTCTTGACCCGCTTCTCGACTCGCTTCTTTCTTCGTGGATTTCGAGGGATAAAACGACATCGACAGAAGGATCGACAGAAATTCGTTTAAAAGTATAATGAAAAAGTTGTTATCTTTCGGATAAAGTGATAACGAACGAAACGAAGGAACATAGTTTTGGCCTATTAAAGATGCGCATCATCCGAAAGTCGCTCTAGTACCGAATAATAAAGAGTACCTTCTTCACCAAGATCCTCACCGATATTCCTTAGTCGAGAATTAGCCGTTCGATAAGCTAGCTCTTCGAGACGCGATTTTTTTTCTTTGATCTCTCTTCTTCTTGTTCTTCTTCTTCTTCTTCTTCTTATTCCTCTTTTTATTCCTCTTTCGATGAAAGTCTTTCCTCCCTTTTTACTCGCCTTTCGAGTTTTCCTTCGCAGACGAGTTTTACGAGGTTGGTTGGAAAAATGTATAACGAGACTACCGACCGTTCCCGCTCATCGTATTTTCATCGTTTACAATCTCTAGGAGGAAGTCGCCGTCTAGGATTTTTAAGGAGAAGTTGTATCCTTATCCTTATTCGAGAAAGCAAACGCGACAAGACAAACTGGGCCGAATTGCCTCTCTCCCGACGATGATGAACGAAATGGGAGGGAAAAATGGAAAAAGATAGACGAATGGATAGAGAGGTTATAACCGGTGTCATGCTGTAAATCCAGACTTTCGACGCGTAACTGGCGAAAATCCAAAAGACGATCTTTCCCTAAGATTTAAACGGCTAAATTCTCGTTTGGCACTGCGCGCAGGGAAGTCGCATAAATAAGAAATGGAAAAATGATAGGAGGAGGAAGTGGAAGAAGGAAGAAGTGCTGCGTTTAAAAGTATCGCTGAGAAACGTTAGAATGTCTTGCGGCGAATAACTGGAGGTAAGAAAGTAGAGATTTCTCATTTTTTGAGCTTACCTTTTTTCCTCTGGACATTTTCCACGGGCTGTGTTTAAAAAAAGGAGAAACCAATGAAGATGAATAAGACGCGCGCGCAAAAGGTTTGCGATGGCGAATCGATCTAATCGATCGATTCCTCCTTCTTTCGATAAATGCAACGTTCAAATTTCAGCGCAACAGTGCCGTGAATACCATGATCGGCAAAGTCGTTTGACCTTAATCACCTCGAGAAATCAAGCGAAGACCCTCGGCATTATTGACGAACAAACGACATTGACGCGAAGCTTGCATAATCGTACGGATGGATGGCCGCGAAATTCAAATCTCTATCTCTATACGAACGGGATTGAATAATTTGTCCTTCCTAATGAGCTCTTCGTTAAATAATTATTCCTCTCATTTCGCATTTAATATTTTCTCTTGTCGTTGCATCAGCGTATATAGATACGTATGTATTATATGTCATACATATAAATAACATACGAAATGATAACGGTCGTTGCAAAGTGAGCGCGTGCGGTGAAAGCTCGTCGTAACGCTATAATGCTATGGCGTATGGGCGCGCATGCCAAAGAAGATACGTAACGACGGATTTACAATCGAGGAAAGTTTGCGCGACCAACCGGTTGCGTGCTTCTACTTTGCCCTGATTCCGAGTCACGTTAACCCTTTATATTCTCTCTCTCTCTCTCTCTCTCTCTCTCTCTCTCTCTCTCTCTCTCTCTCTCTCCCTCTCTCTCGGCTCAGCGACGATCCTATCGAAATCTCGATCGATTCGTAACGATGCGATCGCTAAATTTCATTAAAAGTAAAAACATTTGAAAAGCTTTTCTCTGCCATTAATTTACAACGGTTTACATGAGATTTCTATGAATATCCAGTATTAGGATTAGCTGTGACGATCGCGTTGATCTAACGGAGGAAACTCGAAACCTAACGTAATAATTAGGAGATCGTTCGTTGAGCAAACTTTCTTGACGTCCTTTTGCGTCGTTTGGAGATCGATCGATCGATCGGTCGATCGACAATCGAATGAAACTACAAGATGGACAAGATGAAAAAAGAATGAAATATCGTAAACAGAGAGCATACGCGAGAACGGAATTAAACGAAATCAATGCTACCTCATTTTCGTCCTTTTGCTTTGCCCTGCTATGTAGACTGACTCAATTCGTCCCTAACGAACGAACTGCCACTTCGAATGCTAACACTTTGCTACCGAATATTGTGCTTTTTGATAACTGGCTAATGACGAACGAATATCTCTTGGGACAAATCTACGCGAACTTTTTTCTTTTTTACATTCTTCTTCCATTGTAACGCGTACCTTCCATTATTGTTTAAGTTTTGCCAATTTTTATAACGAAAGATCGTTTCGAAAAATGTATACAGCTATGTAACCGATAGAGTACAGATACATATATAAGGTATATACGTATATATCTAGAAAGGCCCGGGGTATTTTCTAGCGAGCGGATAGCAACACACACCGGAGATACGCAGATCGAAGCGACACGAGAGTGCGAGAGAGAGAGAGAGAGAGAGAGAGAGAGAGAGAGAGAGAGAGAGAGAGAGAGAGAGAAAGAGAGAGAGACGCTTGCGAGAAAAAAAAAACAAAAAGAGAAAAGTTTTCGCGAAATTAAATCTTTAAGAGAGAAAACGTATTCTAAAAACGTATCCCGAATCTTCAACGAGGAAATCTCGCGAGCTTAAGGTCAATGGCGTTCCGTTTGTTTATCATGGTGGGCATTAGTGGTTGGTTGGTTGATTGGTTGGTCGGTCGGTCGGTCGGTCGGTCGGTCGGTCGGTCGGTCGGTCGGTCGGTCGGTAGGTAGATAGGTAGATAGGTAGGTAGGTAGATAGATAGGTAGGTAGGTAGGTAGGTAGGTAGGTAGGTAGGTAGGTAGGTAGGTAGATAAGTAGGTGTATTTTAGCGAATGTCAAAACACAAAATACAATAAAAAGAAAGGAAAGAAAAAATAATGAAAACTAGTCGTTTCTCGAAGGAATTTTTTTTGTTTGTTTTTACGTACCCTTGTTATCGCGACGAGCCGAGTAGTTTCGTTTACCACGAAAGTTTTCCTTTTGGATTAAATCCTCTTTCTCTTTCGGTCGAAAACGCGAACCAGGAGAAAGAACAAAAGCGTGTTAATTCCTCGTGTTTCTCAAATCACATTTTCTTTTCTTTATTCTTACGTCAGTTTCGGACCCTTGTCTTTCCTGCTAAAACACCGTATAAAAACAACACACGGCGCGCACACACGCACAGGCACACCGAGCGTGTGCGCAACACACAACAATCAACGAAATGTACCACGAGCGAACTGACAGTTACCACGGGTTCTTCATTATTGGAAAAGCTACCTTTTGCAGGCTGCTCTTGCGCAGCCGGCACGATACTACCGACTTTCTCCCCTCTACCAACAACTCGACGCCATTTCACTTACTTCCTTCGCCCCTCTAAACTTCCTTCTCCCGCCTTCAGCACCGTACGTAGTCGAATTCGGTACCCTTCTTCTTCCTCCTCCTCCTCCTCTTTCTTTTTATCGATCCACGAGACGGTAGCTTTTATTTCGAGAGAAAAACAACAAAAAAAGAAGACGAAAAAAAGATGCAAAAAAAAAGAAACCAAAAAAGGCAATGTTTCATTTCGATCGTATGCTTTTTCTCCAAATCCAAACAGATCTATTCAGAACGTTCGTTAAAGCTTTTCGAAAATCCCGCTCTCTTTCGTAGAACGAAGACGTAGAAAAGAGACGGCCATGTTGACCGTTCGAATTGTAAGTAAGACGATCGTTTTTCAATTCAGCTATCAAATTGACTACATTTTTCTTCCCAATGAAAAATATGTTCGATCGAAGGCGATTCGATCAAAACCAAGAAATAGTTTGAAAGTTGCAAAAGTGTTTTGGAAGGAGCGACGCCGGTGAGCAAACGGAACATTCGATGGGACGTTGAATTTCTCGAGGCAGGAAACCCTTCTAGAGTTTGAAAAGTTCGTGGAAATAGACAACCTCGCGGAGGTTGGCTGAATGTTCGCAAAGTGAATTTCACTTGAAACTTAAGATTTTATTTTATTCGCATCCAGTTGGGTAATGAAAAGTCCGTTAATACTCGAGTTAATACGCGTACATTGAAAGGAGATTGACTCGCGGCATTGGCCGGCGTTAAACTTGTTATTCCTTTAAGAAAAAATACAGTGCTTCGCAGAAATAAGAAATAAGAAATATGGCGGTACCCACTACCGGTGTAGGTGAGTATTTTTTCCATTCTTCTTTGCTTTTTACTCGATGCGGATTTAATCTTTTTATCATCGTTTCTCTCGAGACGGTCTTCACCTTTGCAAATCTCTTTCCGTTCCTTTTTTTTTTTCTTTCCTTCTTTCTTTCTTTTCTTTCTTTCTTTTTTCTTTTTTTTTCTTTTTTTTTTTTTTTTTTTTTTTTTTAAGCTAGACGCAACCTAAGCACGTTGATCCGTTCTTTCCTGTAAATTAGATACCTTCGCCAGATTTGCAATTTTTCTCGAGAGTCTATGTCTCCTCGTTTTTTTTTTCTTTTTTTTCCACTTTCATATCAACTTTCCTATCTCTGAGAGATATCGGACCACTTCATTCTCTTTCATTTTTCCGGTCGGTCTAAACGGAAAACTTGAAAGACGATCGGAAAATTACGGCATGCCCAATACTCCGAGCCATAACCTGTATCGCGCACCAAATCCAAATTTTCATTATTTCAACCTTTAGCACGGTGGATATTTCTCAACGTTGATATTTCTCACAGTTGTTCCACGAAACTTTCGCTTGCTGGAGGAATTAGAACAGGGTCAGAAAGGTGTTGGGGATGGTACAATTAGTTGGGGATTGGAGAATGACGATGACATGACTCTTACACATTGGACCGGGATGATAATCGGACCACCCAGAGTAAGTGCCAAGCGTTTGATGATACTTTCATATTTTCAAACAATATTTAGCCTAATGGGTTACAGTTGTTAGCGCAATTCAATCTATCTTTTTTTAGACGCCGTATGAAAATAGAATGTATAGTTTGAAAATTGATTGCGGTCAAAGATATCCAGACGATGCGCCCAATGTAAGATTTTTAAGCAGAATCAATATGAATTGTATCAATAGCACTACCGGAGCCGTAAGTATTCACCTTTTTTTTTTTCTTTTTTTTTTTTTTTTTTTTTTTTTTTTTTTTTTTTTTTTTTTTTTTTTATAGAGTCGTGAACAGTTATCTCGTAGCTTTGATTTATAATTTGTATTGTAATTTGCGCAAAGGTCGATAATCGCAGTGTACCAGTACTTGCAAAATGGCAAAGGGAATACACAATCAAGACAGTTCTACAAGAGCTTCGTCGTTTGATGACACTCAAAGAAAACATGAAACTTTCTCAGCCACCAGAGGGCAGTACTTTTTAGCCTAACCACACATAAATTTATCATTTCTTCCTTTTTATGGTAGCACGAGGCGATATAATAATAAAGGTACCAAATAATAATAAAATGGTGCCCGATGGAAATTTATGCTAAGATGTAACGCCTTTGCAAAAGAAAGGCGATAATAGCTTGAAAAGTTGGATATGAATTTTGTGTTTAGGTAAGCCCAAGAGGTGTTTGTCCTTTAAATTTTAGGTCATGTTTAATCATTCGCATGTTTCTAATGTAAAAAGTTATTTGTAATTTTTAGGTAATAAAACTGTTGCGCGATAGCCGTAATGTTTCTCATCTTAAGAGATTATTACTGCTTACTGTTTCTGAGATGCTTATGAGGTATGTGCTTGCAAGACGTATTTTTCCAACTTTTCAAGCTATTATGATTAAAAAAAAAAAAAAAAAACAAAAAAAAAAACAAAAAAAAAGAAAAAAAAGAAAAAAAAAAGAAAAAAGAAAAAAAAAGAAAAAAAAGGGAAAAAAAAGAAGAAAAAAAAGTCACACAACAAATATTTTGAATCTTAAACTGGATACACCGATTGTCTAATAAAAAGAATAATCAGTAAGAACAAATTATGCCTTTGAAGTTTTTTAAATGAAAAACAAAAAGAACAAGAGAGAGAGAGGGGGGGGGGAGAAAAGAAAGGAAAAAAATAAAAAATAAAAGTAGCCTCTAATACAAGCCAAATAATATTTCTGTTTATAGATAAGTGCCATCTTTTATGATTTTAAAATTATGATTTTATGGAGTTGTCTCAATTATTATAGAGGCGGATTGCCACGAAAATTTCTAAGCCCATGTAAATTTTGACAAATCGATTGAAAAATTGATAACGCGTAGGTAGCTTGAATTTGTAATTCGGATACGTTGGGAGTGGTTCGTAGAACGAAATCGTTATCGGAATATAATCGCTTTTGATATGACTAAATGGCAAGAAGTTGAATCGAATTTTCCCTAACCATAAATAAATTCTATCTATCTAATTTAGGAAAAATCTGACAAAAGTTAGATCGTTGAAATTAACTTGTCAAGAATATTGTATAAACGGGATAAAAAATTGGACATTCGACGTCCGTTTATTGAGACATCGCCCAAATACGGCCTCTTACTTCATACAAAAGGATATGTCATACTGCTTGGATCACATGTCGTCTAATAAATAAAGAATGGAAGGTGATCATAACAGAAATATAAAAGGTCGTAATTTGATTCAGAGTAGAGGATAGGGTAACATATAGGGTATATGCGTTGCACCGGGCAGGAGTACATTGATATATGAAGCATTGCAACTTACATTTTCATTTACCTTTTCATTCCAGTATAAATGCGACACAAGACTATGTATATTCCGATTATATTTAAATTTGGTAATCCATTTAGAAAGTGTGTACATGCTTAATAAATACGTATTTATGTTATAAGCTTCATAATTGATGTACTATGAATATTATGTTTTAAATTCAATATTGATCCAAAGCTCGTCAAGAGTATAAAATTCCTGATTAACGAAGATTAATAAGTTTACTTTCTCAAATATAATTTAAATGAGTTGTATCGTTTTATTCCTCTTTTATCAAACTAAATATGCAAGAGTACAGTTTCTTTTTTTTTTTTTTTTTTTTTTTCTTTCTTTTTTTTTTTTTTTTTTTTTTTTTTTTAAGTTTTTATTTTCGCGTTTAATCTCTCACCGATAGAGAACTATGATCGTATAAATTATTTGCAGTATAAATATAATATAATTTCATGATTTCTCACCTTCGATTTGCATTGTATTATGTATACTCTGTTATTGCATTTTTAGACTATACTCAATTAGACCAAAGTATGAATTACGAAGGTATTTGAACAATTATTATTATTAGCTAATTTTATGAAACTTTAACTACCTGAAATACTATACATACCTCTGAGATCAGCTTTGTATTTCAGTATTACACTATCGTTAATGTAATAGTGTAATCTAATTCATATTAAATAATTATTACTCTATGTCGATGAAATGAAACTTAAAAATAAAAAAATTTCTTTAGAAAAATTATCTGTCAATTATTAGTACAATGTTTTCCTCTTTAACGCATCAACGTTTAATTTTTCAAGTGTAACATAATCAAATTACTTTATTCGAATCGTTTAAACATAATTATAAGTTACAAGCACACTTTATTACTTTTAACAATTTATTTATGTCGGCCGATGATAACATTGTTTGCATATTATTTATGTACAATGTACAAGTATATTGACTTGAAAATTTTTAATGAATCGAACATGCATCAAATGCTATATTGGCAGCTTGCGAGTCTGGAAAGTGCTAAAAATTTCCAATTATATTAATTAATTTATAAAACTACATTAGATCCCTTGATGCTAACATCGCCAAGACAATTTCTTTAAGCTGATGCTTCAACGGACTTATCTCGAAATAATTACACTACTTTTTAGGGACGAAAAGTAATTTTGTGTTCTTAACGGTAGTCCATGTGTGCCTCTTTAGGTAAATTACGCCGCTTATGAGAAAGATACCTATTCCAATGGTCTAAAAAAAATTATATAAACGTTAGAAATATTTACGATATCATATATAATCTTTAGAATTAAAAGCAAAGGGAACAATTTACCTTGATGGTATATCTTTTTCTGTCATCATATTCATGATTGGACGTCCACATAAGGAAAGTGGTAACGTCTTTAGCTATTTGAGAAGCGGTAGCAGGAGTACCATCTTCAAACTCCAAGACTTCGTCGTAAACGACCTATGGATATTTCTTTATTTATATATAATGTAGGACACAGAATGAGAAATGTGCAATGCGGGATGGTGGTGTCATTCTACTTTCTACTCGTATAATTATAAAATTACCTGTCCCATACCGATAGCACCACCTAAGAAATATGGATTAAAGTATTGACCTTCTTGTAGTTTAATTCCAGCCGGTGGATCACAATATCCGGTCAACAGAGAGAATATATAGTTCTGTAAAAACAGATTTATAAGTCCGTTATATTATTATAATATTGTATATGAAAAAATTTACCTCTCCGTCGTGCCTAGCATTGACGATTAGCGAAAGATCAGGTGGTAAGGCGCCATTGTTAGCCGCTCTAGCGGCTTCCTCATTTGGATATGGGCTTGGAACATAGTCCGATAATTTTCCTGGACGCATAAAGTATTCTCCGGTGGCGTCTGGACCATCTTGCACCTGTTTTAAAATCGTACAATAAAGTATATATATATATATATATATATATATATATATATATATATAGATCGATCAATAAGATAAGTACTCTCAATAAAAGATCTTTCTCTGTATGATCACCTGTATTTCAGCAGCAAGAGCTTTCGCTTCTTTCTCTGTATGACTAACGCCTACCAGATGACGATATGCTACATACTGCAAACTGTGACAAGCGGAGCATACATTTTTATATACTTCCCATCCTCGTCGCACGCTGAAATTTATAAAAAAATACAGTCAAACCACTCGTTTTATTAGCTCATTATATATTTAACACGCAGATGCCATACCTTGCATGATCCAACGAGTTAAACATTCCATAAAAATCCCATTTATATCTCGCAGGATGAACTGCCAGATCGCCGGCTTTTACAGAGCTATCTAGAGCATAAATTAAAGCTCCAATACCACCAGCAGTTATTCCTAAACACGTTACTAACTGTAAATAAGAGGATAAGTTGTCAGCTTGATACGCATATATATATACATATATATATATATTATGGCAAATCATTTATAGTTCAATAAAACGTATTAAGATGTATAGTAAGAAATATAAATTGACTATAAGAGTTATTACATAATGAAAGATATTATAACTTACTATATGAAATATAAAGTTTTTATAAAGTTCAAGATGGTGGTTACAGGAAAGGTGTCAAGGTAAGGGGGACATTTCCTATTGACAAATTGAAAAACACCTACCAATTTTCGACCTCTGGACCATTCTTTTGTAGTGGAGAAATTATTGGTCTGTAAAATCATAATGAATTATTAAGATTTATCTCATGATTAGATTACTCAATGGAAATAAAATTATACAGATGTTATATCTTCTCGTTATACCATTACTTACAATAAAATTGTTGTCCTTTAGACATAACTTTATATATATGCATTATAAAGTATTTAACTTTTGTGATCATATTTGGCAGTTACACTTTATATTTCTACAATTTTTGTACAAATATATATATATATAAAGTATATATAAAACACATGTTTAATGATGGCAGCATCATGATTTTCTCTAGACGTTACTATTACATAACATGTATTAAATTGTCTTTTAAAACTTTTGAAAATTTATGTATCTCTTTCTAAAAGACAATACGCTTGTGTGGCATTAATAAGAAAGGTGCCATTCGGATTAAATATTACGAATAAAAATGTCATAGCAGCCGACAAGTAGTACAGCTCGAGAGTAAACTTCTTATAGAAACTTGGCCGATTATGTCAATCGTATATAAGGCCAATAATTAGCCATGAATATATTACTTATTGCTCAAATAAATGTATTTAATCGCGACCAATTGTTATTACAATTTTTCTTACCTGATTGACCAAAGTTCCATAATTCGGTTTTAAAAGACCAGATTTACAAATTCGTCCTAACGTAGCCGCCATCTTGGCCAGAGGTGCTATGTGCAAAAGGCGTTAGTCAATGAAGCAACTGAAGAATACACGAAGACAAATTTTTTAGTTCGACGAAGAGGATTAAAATATCTTATCTAAAGGTTGACACTTTTTCATCGTACACAGTAGTAATGGACATTCGCTTAAATTAAATCCTAATCTTTCATATTGGAAAGATTTCAGACAGTGATCACTTTTTCAAGCGATTATTGGATATAGAGATACAAATATTCGTTACTCTTAAATTTCCCGCTTTATGGCCCTCTTTCAAATTCTAAATTATTTGAATATCTTCAATTGGTTGTTATCGATAAATATGATATTCGTTGAAACTTGATTAAAAACCTATCATTAATTATAATCATATCAAAGAATATAATAAAAAACCTAACTTTTTTCTTTCGTTTCTTTTCTTCTTTTTTTTCTTTTTCTTCTTCTTTTTTCTTTTACATAATGGTGATTAAAACCAGCGTGAAATTAATTTCAGGTAAAATAAGAAATATTTCAACTTTATATCGAAGAACTTATTTTCATATGTGTTTGACTCATTTTTTTGATTATCGGAATAACGAAGTAATATGATACGTTGATTAATAATATATTTGAACGTGTAGTTGGAAAATGTAAAAACAGCGTAATTGCAATTAATTCCTGAAAAGAATGCTGATATTACAAATGAAACGGAAATTCTTTTTAGATGTCCACCTAGCTAGTTACGATATTTGAAGATAATCAAGGGAGAGGGCGCGACGCATGCGCCTATCTGTTGGCAGACTTGGCAGTTCGCCGTCGACCATTGGTGTCAGCTGCTACGTTCGTCAGATGGTAATGTGAATCGTAGAATATCGCATCGATCACCGTACCGAAGAAAACGCATCAAGATGAGCGGAGGAATGCCGGAGCTTGGCTCAAAGATAAGTTTAATATCGAAGGCGGATATTCGTTACGAGGGTCGCCTATTTACCGTAGATCCGCAAGAATGTACGATCGCTCTTGCTAATGGTGAGTATGAAAATCAAGATGGATACCGAACCTACTTTTGCCGCTTCTCCATTTCCCGGTTCTTTTCCTCCTATAGCTTTTTATCCTCTTCTCTAGCTTTTCTCTCTCTCTCTCTCTCTCTCTCTCTCTCACCTTCTATCTCTCTTTCTTTCTCTCTCTCTCTCTCTCTCTCTCTCTCTCTCTCCCCCTTGCTGCTTTCTTCTTCTTTTTTTCCTTTCAATTCATCCTAAATTAACGCTCGATCGTTCCTTTAGATTTGTTAAATTGGAAAATACTTCAAAATATATGAGATTTCGATTTGTCCGGTAGATCAAATGCAAAACAACCGGGGTCACCCTCCTAACGCTACTCTTGTAACGAGTGATTTATACGTTTCTCGATTAATCTACGTCTTCGAATTATATCAAAGATATATCAGATTTTATTTTACTTTATAATACTTCACACATATACGTTATGTACGGGACTTCATTGCAATATACTATTATGAACTCTGTAGATACAAACAATAAAGGCATCATTTCGAATCGTTTTCTGGAGGTCAAATGAACGATCAGCTTTCTAACGATGTTAGATTTAAATCTTCTAAAACTCGATTATACAAATATTATTTAATATATCGTTGATTTCTCCTTCACCCTCCTCCCCCCCATTGTCTTTGTGCGTGTGTGCGTGCATATGCGCGCGCTCGTATATGTGTGTGTTGTATGTGTGTATGTATATACATATATATGTACATATAAATACAATTTTTATTATTTATTACTTTGGATTTTCAAAGAATGAAATCGTTACACCTCGAATAGCGTTAGATTTGATCTATCATTGTTCTACTTCACAAAAATCACACCATGTTACAAATATTATCCATTAATAGAAATTAATAAAGCAAACATAGTATATGCCCTTCTGATATGTCGACAGATTATATTAAAAGCTAGTATTTGCTTTATGTTTCAAATAATTGTTTTTACACACACAGAGTCATTGTATAGAAGGTTTATATCTCTTGCTTAGTTCTTTGTTTACAATGTTTCAATGTCCTTGTCCTCTTCGACTCTGTTAGATATCCATCATTGAACTCAAACATAGGGAAAATGTACAGGATCAAGGTTATCTTAACATATTTCAAATTCTATTCAAATTGTCGAAGTATTCCTTTTTTTTATTTTTTTATTTTATTTTTTATTTATTTATTTTTTTTTTCTCTCTATAATCACCAAATTATCCTATCGTCATTAGAAAATCGATAAAATATTTAATCTGAAAATGCAGAGGATAAAAAGAAAATATTTTTCTAAGGTTATATTCATTATATAGCATAAAATCTAATCTTGTTTATTTTTATAACAGTGCGTTCCTTTGGAACAGAAGACAGAGAAACTCAACTGCCCGTAGCTCCTCAAAATCAGGTCTACGAATATATTCTATTTCGTGGCTCGGACATAAAAGATATTAGAGTTGTGAATAATGTTAACTCTATACCAAATGATCCAGCTATCGTCCAGGTAATTGTATAAATGTAGCGTCTTACCTCCAAGATATTTACTTTTTTGGGACAGTCCAGTAATGAAATGTATGTTTGCACGGTGAATGATTAACTTTGAACATATCTGATAGCAATTGATTTTTAGATGACTGTACAGCCATCGATGGGACAGCAATCTTATCAACCGCAACCGACTTATGCTCATCCAATGATGGGTCAAATGGGCCCTATGGGTGGTCAATATGGAACTCCTTACGGTATGACTATGGGGGCAATGGGACCAGTAATGGGCATGCCGACTACTGCCAGAGATCCTCGCGGGCCACTGAATAAACAGCCAAGTGAGTTGAGCTTGGGCCCTGCTGAACCCAATGCCATCTCTATCCCAAACTCACTATCGACGGCCAATGTCGACCCATTACCAAAAGACCAATCTCTGGAAGATGGTAAACTGTTTTTGCTATGATCTTTTCCTTGCCAATGGCATGCCTACTGCTTCCTTTTTGGTAAAAACGCTTGCTACATAATTTACTTCATTATATTGTATGTATTTTGGATATATTTGAAAGTGATTGCATTTAATAGATAATTCTTTTAATAATTTTTTAAGTAATTGCAAGAGCTGTATGTCATCTTGGAATTCATTCCAGATTCGCATCGCTTAACATTCTCTGCCGATATATTGAGTTTGTCCCAAATGATCTAAATATCTATATGCTATATTTTCTACGCTAGAACGAGTCCCTTAACTACAATAAATACATGTTTTATAATACTTTGCAAATGCTTTCTGCTGTGTGCACATACGTGCTTTCATATTAATTTACAATGTATCTTTAACCTTCTCGTACGTTTATAATTTAATTGACTTAATCCATAATATTATTCATATAGCAGAAAAGTATTAATGGCAGTAACTTGAATATGCGTGTTAGATTTTATTATATTAATAGTATTACGTGTAGAGATATTCGAACAAATTGCAATATTTTTCTCGGATGAATCATATTTTGGATTCGAAGGAACTATCTTTGCATCCGCATTTTTCTATTTTTCTTTGACAATACGATTAATTGTTGTTATCCGAGCAGCGTATGAGCATGAAGCTGTGTCGAGTAACGTTATAGCAAGAACAGTTTAAAATTTGAAGTAGTTTTGGCTATTATTCTAATATTCTTTTAATCGGTAATGCAATGACATTAGTAAGATTGTAGTACGATACAGAGTGAGAAATATAAATTTGTAATATTTGGCCTGTCAATTTTTCTTATACTTTACGAGGTACACCAAAGACAAGAATTGAATCCTTCTTATGTAGGTGTACTGGATCTTATTAGCGGAGGATCGAGATCAACAACGCCGACATCTTCATTATTGACTAGAAAAAGTCCTACAATAGATCAGGGCATACAAGTAGGACATCAACAGCAACAGCAACAACAACAACAGCAGCAACAGCAAAGTAGTCTTGGTAAACACGTTGAAAAGCCAAACATTAGAACCGTTCAACCTCCACGTCGTGATCACGAAGGGTAGGATAATTGGCATTGAATTATTTGCCATTGAAAATTCGTTGTTTTACTTTAGACTCGTTTAAAAATAGATTAAGGCAAGCTTAAAGTTTAATCGCTAAACATTTTTTCTTCTCTTCTCTTCTCTTCTCTTCTCTTCTCTTCTTTTCTTTTCTTTTCTTTCCTTTTACCCCGCTCCTTTTTTTCTTTTTCTTTTCTCTCCCTCATACAGACATGTTGGTGGCAAAACGAGCAATGCTATGTCGCAATATAACGATATGAAGAGAGACGCCATGAAATCTGATGGTCCGATACAGGGACAAAGTGGACACCCCGGAGGTGGTAGAGGAAATCGTGGTGGTTGGATGAATCGTGGAAATATACGTGGCCGAGGTAGAGGACGCGGTGGTTTTAGGGCCAATCAACCTGGTAATGCTGGAGCTAAATCCAAAAACACGCTCAAATTTGATAACGATTACGATTTCGAGCAAGCTAATACGGAATTCGAGGAATTAAGGTATATATCCGGTTGTCTAGTTAAGTTTTCAAATACATGCATGTTTACTTGGCGTATTTCACTTCATACATAATAATAAGTGGGAATACACGTATCATGCAATAGTAAGTTGGTTATATGCGATATTAATGCAGGCATGAATATACGTATAAGTGTCCTGTTTACGCATCGCATACACATTATTATATAGATTAATATAGATTTATTGGCGCACAACTATTTTAATAAAGAAATATAATTATATAAATATAATTAGATCCCAATTGGCAAAGACCAAAATCGACGGTGGTACGGATAACGAGAAGAAAGATGATAGCGGTAATGAAACTGGAGCAGGCGAAGGAGAACCCGAGGAAGAACCGGAAGTTGTTCATTATGATAAATCTAAATCATTCTTTGATAACATTAGCTGCGAGGCTGTCGAGAGGAGTAAAGGGTTGGTATAGCTTTGATATAACAAGTTCTGGCCGGTTAATAAATGAGAGTGCCTAGATGTCGACGATCGAAGAAACTTTTATTTACAGACGATTCCAGCGTACGGATTGGAGGACAGAAAGGAAATTGAACTCTGAGACGTTCGGCGTGGCTTCGACAAGACGTGGCGGTTTTCGCGGCCGTGGCTACTATAATCGTGGTATGGGAGGAATGTATGGGAGAGGTGCTGGCAATATTGGTACGTCTGGTTTTCGTGGTGGGTACAGAGGTACTCGAGGCGTCAATCGCAAGCCCACCAATCAACAACAGAATAATAATCCTGGTAGTCAAGCTCGTGCGACCAACGAACAGTCTACTACTCAGTCGCAGCAGAATAACCGTCTTGTAACTGGAACGGCGTAAAACCTGGAATATGCCACACTATGAACAACGCGCTATTAAGTATAAGTATTCTTTAGATAATAAGGCTTTTACGGTATATGCTCTGCCCATACGGACTGAAAATGATTTTGGAAAAATTGGCAATCTGATAAATTTTAGATTGTCGTTAAAGGAAATGTTGCGAAGAATCTCGCGCGTGGGACTCTGCTGGCGCACAGAACTCTCGCATCTAGACTTTTTTTCGGTGTAAGGGAGACGTTTACTCTACGGGGAAGAAATGTTTTTTTTCTTTTTCCCCTTAGCTTTGGATAATGATCACGATATACGCGCGTGCACGCGCGCGCGCACACACACACACACACACACAACACAACACACACACACACACACTTATCGAGAATCGTCCTTTGATAATCGTTTATATGATTGAATGTAGTCTTGTAGTTCGTGTGCGTTCTCGAGAGGAAATCTTTGCGCTTTTAATTTTTTTCTTTTCTCTAACAGGCATCGGAGCAAATACAGGACACGTTACATTTGAATATAATCTTACAATATGATCCATATGAGACGTTGAAAGCGCAGGCAGGTTTATCATATTGAGAAGAAATTGACGAAAAATTACAAGTTCTAGTTTAAAACTTCTCGTTTATATTTTATTCGAAATGCGAATTTCTTTCTCTCTATAAAACATTTTTCCTACGACTCTTTCAAGGGGACGTTTCAAGTTTAATATTTTTCCCATAAGCTTCGTATCGTAATCATTATCACGTCTTTTCGTATAAGTGTTTAGTAGATCGAGATAGGTCAATAAAGATGTGGCAGAGAAAAAATAAAATGATAAAAAAAATTATACTGGTAATTATATTTGCATTAGTTATAAACACCGATAGGATATACTCAGTTTCGGTGATGCCTCGGAATAAAAATATTCTTATGAAAAAGAGGGTAGACGTGCGTTTAATGGCTATTTCTGGGCTATTTTGCTTTGTATTCGTTTGACGGAAGTATCTTAAGATATAGAGAGAATGCATGTATATATAATACTTATAATTATGTCCATAAGTGGATATGGTTATATATATATATATATATATATATATATATGTGTATGTATATATATATATATATTCTATACATATATATTCTTTTTATATCTTTTCGAAGGGTATACTGAGAGAAACTGAGTATATTCGTTGGTACTTATCAATCGTAAAAGAATGTGTGACGCTGAGAATGGAGTTATTACTATAGCTAAATTATCGCGTGTTTTATTTTTTGAATACGCAGACGAAATTTCGAGATAACCGACTAGAAGTTTCTACAATAGAAGGAGAAGAAAAAAGAATAAACAAACAAACAAACAATATTTAGTTTTAAGCGAATGGAAGATTCTTTCGAAGGTATAAAACTTATGATAATGCGTGAGAGCTCTTTAAAATGCAAATATGTATAATCGATACTGTCCTATGTACGAAATCGTCATCGAACGCGTTCGTAGACGACCGTTATTCACATGGTAAAAGAAAGAAAAAAAAAAAAAAGAAAAAGAAAAACAAGAATACGACGAATCGTTTGTTCGTTATACCGTGTGTGAGAGATCAATAAGAAGCAGATGGCGAGCTTAAGGGGATGATTATAAATTGAAAGTACAAGTCACATTTAACAGTGAAACGTGCACTAATCGCAGCGAAGAGACCAAAACGCGAATCGCTCTGCATGAAAAATTGACTTCGGTGCATAGGCTAAAGATTTTTTCGACTTTGCGACTGTATCAGTAATTAGAAAAGTGGCCTAACATTTAATTTTTTATCATTTATTTTGAGTTCCATCGATCCATATTATAAAAACAGAAAAACGTGATATTTCGGTAAATATATGGCTTTGGTCTCTTTCATAATCATCATTTTTCATTCGACTCTTCCATTTCAAAGCGGTGTGTTTCCAAAAAAAAAACAAAAAAAAAAAGAAAAAAAAGAAGAAGAAAGAAATAAGAAACAAAACAAAATAGGAAAAATTAAAAAATAACGACGCGATATTCGAGAAAGTACTTACAATTAGAATGAACGAAAAAAAAGAATACTTTATACTTGTATGACGCACGTCGAGTCTGCTGCTGACCTTCTCTCATTCATAAAACTTCAGTAAGAGACTCCTCGAACATAAAGATTGAGAATGAGAAGGAGGAGGAGGAGGAGGAGGAGGAGAATGGGGATGGGCGAAAATTATCGAAGATATAGAAAAAGGAAAACGAATGTAACCTGTCGCCAGTAGACTAGATGATATATCGTCATCATTAATTAACAGGATGGTTTTATTATATTTGTCGTGTGTATGTGAAAGATTTGAGGGTATTGCTAAGGATAGAGGGAAGGTAGGTAACGTCGTTCTCCTTTTTTTTCTTTTTTGTTTTCTTCTTTTCGATAGTTTTTACCGACAAATTTTGCTCTTCTTTTTTCCTCGATCTGGGTTACATACATTTTACATGTTCAAAATTTAAGAATCAAGTGAAATTCATTAATATCTCATTCGATCGAAGGTACTTTGCGAATTATGTATATGTATCGTATAACTTCGTCTTTACGTATTTCGAATATGGTCCGCGTGACACGATGCTGCACTTTGACGGTCGTGAAAGTAATAAAAAATTAGAAAAAAAGCTGGATGATCAATGCCCCTTAGACGAGGAAAAGGAGTAGGAGAAGAAGGAAGACAAGTCTGAAAAGAAGGATAACGGTGTAATAATGCGGAGAAGACAAAAAGTATGTGTATTATTTGCGACTGTTATTTTTCTATGGCTCTTGCCGAGATCCACGCATATATACAAATGTATACATAACGTAAGCCAAGATTTAGTTATACATACGTTATATATATATACATATATATATATATATATATATATATATATATATATATGACGATGGTGGTAATGATAACATATTGATAATGATAATAATAATAAAATAATAATAATAATAATGATGATAATAAAAAAAAAAAAAAAAAGAAAAAAAAAAAGAAAAAAAAAAGTAAACCTTCATAGTCTATCGGCGATGCGGCCAAACGAAGTATAAAGAGAATAATAAAAACAGGAAAAAAACACAAATCAAGTGTATATTAAACGTAGGCAGATAAGAAGAAAAAAGTATATGTTTTAAGTTTCTTGCATTATGCATGGGGAGAATATTATTACACGATGTACGCGATTTTCCAACGATAAGTTTTTGTTTTGTACAGCGGATATTGTGAATCCCGATGCTATGAATAATACTGAAATGATGAAATAATACGCGGTGTATAATCTTTGTAATAGTAATCGACCTCTTTTTTTGTGTCTTTTTTTTCTTAACCTGTTAGCTATGCACAATGGTATATTCGTATACTCATACACGCTTACAGATTAATTATTTATTACTTCCTAATTTCAGAGCATTTTCTTCCTACAGTCGAAATGCAATTCGCTTAGGAAACTTTTCGCGTATAAATGTAACAAAATAGTTCATGTTTCGGTCAAACACAAATTACGCTAGTTCTCGTACTATTATCGTAAACTTTCGTTATTTTGCGTCCTTTTCCAATTTTAGTCTCGACATACGTCATGTTGTTCTTGTAACGTCGACATAGAGTACGAGGATTTGGTACATAAATCTCATAAGGTTGACGACCACTCTCGATGACCCAAATGCTACCGGATTCACCGAAACGTAGAACATTTAACAGGCCCTGCGCGACGATGTACGGTCTATCGATTAAACAAATTTGTCTTCAATCATAGGAGAGATCGAGGAATTCGAATTTGAAGAGATCCGCGATAGATAGATAGAGAGAGAGCGTCGCAAATAAAGACGACACTTACGTTTGTATGGGGACCTGTTCCAAGTTCTTCACAAAATCCGCTTTCATTACTCTGGATAACAATTTGTTCGGACTGTCGATAGTGAGACCAGTTTCTGTTAATCCAGGGCACAACGTTATCACCCTTATTCCGGTTCTTTCGTAATTATCAGGGTCCTAAGAGATAAATGAAATTTTTACGTATTGTTATGATTATAATCGGTTCCGTTACATAACGATTAAAAATATAATTAAAATTCAGCACCGAGATTAATCGATAATCGATAAAACTCACTGCGAGAGATTGCGAAAGACCTATGATCGCGTGTTTCGTAGCCGCATAAACTGGAAGTTGAGCCGTATTACCGATATTCATGTGTTCACTGACATTCACCAATATTCCACCGTGTCCACCGCTCTCTTTGCTCATGTGTTTGACAGCCAACATTGCTGTTGAGATCATTCCAGTCTGACAAAAAGGAAAAAAGATTTTCTTACTAACATCTTTAACAATAAATAACAGATTATATAAAGATTTGTTTTTTTTTTTTTTTTTTTTTTTTTTTTTTCACTTACAATATTCACGGCGATCTCACGTTCCCAACGTCGTTCGTCGAGTATTCCAGCATTATTAATCACTATGTCGATTTCGGTCATTAATATTGATGCTTCCTCAAAGGCCTCTATAAGATAAACAAACTATATACATTCATTACATAGAATATATAGAAATGAAAAATGTTCTTTTCCCCTTTCCGACACTTTCGAATTGAAACTTTCGATCGAACAAACCTATCGATTGCTCGTGTTTAGCTACGTCACTTTGTATGAAGTATACTTTGTTTACACCGTACGACTTTTCTATACCCAAGCCAATCTTCTTACAAGTCTCTCCGTCTATATCGAGTATAGCTATTTTCTATAACACATTGAAGTATCGTTTATTTCGTTCGAATATCATTGATCATTGTAAAATAACGATATTTCGATCGATGTTCGCTTACGTTTGCTCCGTGTTTCAGAAAGCTATTAACGAAAGCGTAACCTAGACCAGCAGCACCGCCAGTTATTAAAATATTTTTACCAGATACCACACCATTGATTTCTTCCAATTCCTTGGTTCTTTCCGAGGCCGAGGATCGTCGTCTGATCATCCGTTGAGCTACAATGACAAATTAACGTGATTCTTTTCTCCTTTAATAAGTCGGTCAATAATTTTTTCTTTTTCCTTCTCTTTTTTATACCGGATAAATAAAAGGCATCGCATAAGAATAAAGCTAACGGTGAAAAAAATACAAATGTTAGAAATCGTTTAAAAAGAATATCGTTTCTTTCCCGGCATCTTCTTCTGATTTTCCTTGAGGAAAAATTAGGAATACTCATCGTACCCATCATCTCCATTTTCGAAATAAATAAATCGATAAGAATCGAAAAAAAATGATGACAGAACGTAGCGATCACAAAGAAGCAAACTGAAATCGAGGGCTCTGTTCGAATGGTATTTATACAAATCGAATAACATTAATCGGAGACGCATTAATATTACTTGATGTTTCACGCTTCGTTTCGAGGAAAAAAGAGGGAAGAGGACGGGCTGGTTCCTCTTTCTTCGTCAAGAGGTACGTGTGTGTGTGTGTGTGTATGCAGGGAGAAAAGAAAGAGTGATCTCGAAGAAATCGAAGCAACGTGTTGTTCGTCGATAGCTCTGCTACTTAATTAAAAAGAAAAAAAGTGATAAAAGAGAAAAAAATAGGATAAGAGAGAGAGAGAGAGAGAGAGAGAGAGAGAGAGAGAGAGAACTTTCTTATCAACGTTTTTTATTATAATAATTGTGATAACCGCGAGACGATAGAGAGACAATCGTAGTCGGAGTATGATTATTTTCCTCGGTCGTGTCACAGTAAACTATGTAAATATTACAGATTTTTTTACTTCTAAACAAATATATAGGCAATATCAAAAGGTCGACTTAATCGCATTCTATGAAAGACAATCGTATGATATTTAACGTAACAAGTGATATGTCATGGAGATAATGTTATTGATGTACAACTGACAGCGTGAATATACATTTTGTGGGAGAAGGAGAGAAAGAGAAGATGATTTTTATCGTGACCACCGCTGTACCTTTTACGTAATTATTCAACGACAATAAGAATAAGTCCAAGGATAAGTCGATTTAGGAGTCGCTAGTTTTTCTTTTGCCTTTATTTTCGTCGTATCGGTTAAAGTGCTTTTCGCGGAAAATCATCAATATCTCAATTGATATCAATCCCTATTTAATACATTGTACGAACGGTGCATTCGACGATGTCGACGAAACGTTTGCCGATAGAACGAGTCGTGTGGCAGAAGACGAAGAGATAATGAACGGTCGTGCGCTCAGCTCATTATCGAGGAAACAAATGTATCATTTTTCTTTTTTCTTTTCTCTTTGTTTTTTCCTTTTTTTTAATACTTATCTGACGAAGGACGCATTAACTATAAATTATATGAAAAGCTAGACCTTTTTTAACCGCGATATTGTTAACCGGTTCGAATTGGTTCGCGTTAGATCTTACACAGGTCAATATTCGCGAATAAATTATTATAATGACATTCATTGTGTTATTTTTCTTTTTTTCGTTAAAACTTGGCAAAAAATTTTTCGAAAATTGAATTGAAACGTGAAAGTTGCAAACGAAGAAGTTTCTTTTTTTTTTTTTTTTTTTTTTTTTTTTTTGTAGATAATAAGCCTCAAGTTTATCGAAGACGACCAAATTATTAAGGAGCACGAAATGAAGCACGGTCGGAGAGATAGTATATATAGCCCTCTCTCCTACAATCGACATTGAAAGAAAATATATCCATTTGCTTAAATCTAATACCAATTCATAGATTTTCGTAGATTCTCTAGTGAAAATAGGAACATTTTATTTCTCATAAATATATTTTACAAGTATTTAACTCTGTTGTTCCTCCCCTTGATCCGTTTTCTGGGGTAAACTATCGGACAGTTGAACTTCATAAACAGGTTTACCTTGCTCGCTTATCCATATAGTTCCATTTTGAGCGCATCTGATCGCATAGACTAGCCCATGAGCAACTGATTCCACTCTGATCGTGAAGAATAATCGATGGTCAAGAAACCGTGAAAAATCATCAAAATCGCAAACAACCTCATACACACCTTTGGGGTTGGTACTTTTGCAGGACTTGAGGATCTATAAGATTGCTTCGAAAATCTTCGTGATTCGCCTCGGTCACGCCTGGACAGAGCACTATAATTCTCACCTTGGTTCTCTGATAATGATAAGGTTGCTAAAAGAAAAAAGTTGGGCGTGCATCATAAAGGAGGGAAAACAATAATCGAGTAAAATCTAAATGAAAAATGTAAATATGCATACGGCGAAGGAACGGCTAAAATTCACCACGGCGTGTTTTGCGGTGGAGTAAACTGGAAGTTGTGGTAAAGCACATAGGCCAGCGATCGAGGAAACATTCAGGACAACGCCTCCTTTCCCACCTGAATCTCGACGCATTTGTTGTATTCCCAGTAAAGTTGAACGAATCAGAGCTGTCTGTGAGAAAAGAAAAGAAAAAAAAAAAAACGCGTGCAAATACGTTTGTACTTATAATAGAGAAAAATGCGAAAAGATCAAAGGGCCATGGGAACTCACCACGTTAACGTCTATAGCTTTTACAAAGTCAGCCTCATTTATCACGCTGGCGTTGTTGATTAAAATATCCAGACCGCCAAGTATATTGATTGCATCCTTAAATGTAACTACGGCAAACGATCTCTATTGTGTTATTTTCTTAGAAAATTATTACACAATTATTACACAATTATCAAATATGAGAGATAAAATGCGAACTATTGAAATCGGTGCTACGGGTCACGTCGCAGGGAAGAAAAATCGCGCGATTACGGCCAAATTCAAAATTTAATCTCTCCATCGCCCCTGTCCCCTCCTCCTCGCGGTTGTCGATCATGAGGACTTTCTAAAAAAAAAAAAAGTAATTCAAATTAAATACTTGTAATATTTTCTTCTATATACATATTTATAACCGACTCATAAGGTTTACATCATTTACAAATAACGCGATCGAGTTTGAAGTAGTACGAATTTAATAATTGATCGAAAAACTAATGTTTGTTTATCCAGAAACATAACTGATCGATCGATAAGAAAATATTTACTTACAGTTGCACCATTACGTAACAATTCTCTGCTAAAGGCCAAGCCCAATTTACTCGCTGCGCCCGTTACGATCGCTCTTTTGTCTTTTATTTGCATTTTTTTTTTTTCTTTCAAAACGAAATTTTTTGCCTTACCGATAATCACTTAAAATTCGAACAATATTTCTTCCCCGAGGAATATTTTCTTTCGAGATTAAATCAGTTAAACTGAAGAGAGATCTTATTTTTTGCGATTAAATGCGTCGTAAAAAGTGAAAGATTGATTGAGGAGCGAATAAAAAAATGACGAAGATCGGGCGAGAAACGACGGAGTCATGTCTTCTTCGTCACTTCTCCCGATACGTATGTCAGCCAATACTAAAGAATCATCGTCTTCCTCTGTTTTTCCTACGACGATCTTCGACCCCACACGAATGATCCAATTCCGTCTCATCGGAAAGCCGCGAGATTAATTTCTATGTAACGCGTTCAGATTTCTTCGAAAGGAATCAAACTTTAATCCTCAAGCTTTGATTGTACTTTGATTTTTACAATAGGCTCGCAAAGAAGAAAGTAATAATCGATCGGAGTAAGACTTTTTTGCTTTTTTAATATCATAACGCTCATAGATTTTCAATCGTATCGTTTCTTCTTCATTTCTTGTTCGAAGATTTTACAAAGTTTCTTGCAATCGTAATGGAAAAGAGAACAAAAAAAAAAAAAAACAAATCAAATATTAATTTCATCATACTACCAAATAAGAAAAAGATCATGTTGTGCTTTCAACACGACGAATATTTTCTTCTCGTTCTCGTAAAGAAATTCAACATCTTAAAAAATCTCTTTAACTGAGAATGCAGATCGCTCCGTTATCTGTGTCGGTGTACGTTTCTTGTACTCGTTTTTCTTTTTTCTGAAGTGCACGATCTCTTTGCGACGAGCCGTATTCCGACACTTTTCCTTTCTACGTACGTTCTTACTACACGCCGATCTTCTAACACATTATATATAATAAATTTAGTTTAATTGTCGCGTAATTATTCACGAATTCCGATAAAAGGTTTGCAAATAGTTTCTATGTAATCTGTGAGATATTTTATTCATCTCGTTAAAGAAATAAAATACAGTTATTATTGACAGAGGAATACGACAGTCGTAGATAGATCTATATGTTTACAAAGTATATATACAGAGATATATATACAGAGAGATATATATATACAGACATATATACAGAGAAAGAGAGAGAGAGGGGGGGGAGGAAGAAAAAAACGTTCTCTATGATAATATAATAATTAGCCAATTTTTTAAATAGGCACGACAAGTTCCGTATAATGAGGAATCTCGATCTGATACGGCGGTTGTCCACCCTCGCTGACCCAAATCGCTCCATTTTTGCCTTTTTCAATTAGATCCATCATTGCTTGTGAAACATTATCGACCCTTTATCCAAACACACGTAAAATTTCATTAATAGAAATTTTCCAAAGAAAAAATGTCTTGATATAAGTTTTACGTAAAACTTACGTTTGCTTAGGGTAATTCTGGAAAAATTCTGCAGTAGGTATATCTACTAATTTGGTAAATTTGTTTTCGACGTCCTGGAATAAATATGTCTCCGTAACACCAGGACACATGATCAACACGCGGACACCAGTTTGCTCTTCCATATTCTAAAATAAGAAGAAGAAAAGCTTTTCAGATAGATAAATTAAACGGCGAAAAGATACACGTAAAGAGGAAATATGTTCGAATCGATCTATTTAAAACTCGCGATGGAAGAAAATATAAACTTTCGAAATTTCATTAGCTTTTTTCATTATACCTTCAAAACGTTACTGAATCCAACGACTGCGTGTTTAGTTGCCGTATAAACTGGGGCTTTTATAAATTTGTTAGAAATTCCAACGATAGAAGCGATGTTTACGAGAGTTCCACCTTTGCCACCTTTCTTCTTGCTCATATGATCCATAGCTAAAAAGCATCCATGAAAGAGACCCGTCTGAAAGAAAGGACTTTTTTTTCTTTTTACCTCTTCTAATCAAGCCTAGAAAAGGAACGAGATCGAAGAAAACTTACGACATTAATGTCAATTGTTTTTATCCATTTAGATTCATCCAAAATTCCAGCATTGTTAATAAATATATCAATGACATTGAAGGTAGAGATAACCTTCTTTACAGCCTCTACAAAAGTTAACGAGTTATCATTAGTTAATTATTCGTTTTTTTTTTTCTTTTAGCATGCAAATGGCAGTTGACTTTAAATATTCATTTTAAGATGTGTACAATAACACTTGCCTTCGAATTGCGAGGCATTCGACACGTCGCAAGGTACAAAGATGGCTCGATTTTTGCCAAATTCTTTTTCCAATGTTACCGCAGACTGGTCGCCTTTCGAAGTGGCCAGATCCAAAATGGCAACGCTCTAAATATTCACTTATAAATTTTTGACCGAGGTATATTTCAACCACAATTAGAGATTACACTTACCTTGGCGCCATTCCTTAGCAGATCTTGGGCGTATTTATATCCAAGGCCAACGGCTGCGCCAGTAATTAGAACAGTTTTACCTTTAATGTTATTCATTATTACGTTAAATCCCTTCAATTTCGAACGAAGAATATACTGTCATTGAAACTCTTAAGCTCATATGCTTCCTTATATAGATGCGCTTATATCGATATAAATGCGAGAGTGGGAGTCGATTAGCAAGATATTTTTGCGAGATGGTTCATAATGGTGAATTAACATTTGACGAATAGTTTTGTTTACTTGAATAATAAAATAATAAATCGTATCTCATAACTTATAAAAATAAGTTATAAATTTATGATAATTAAAAAATTATGATTTTAAGCTTTATTTCATATACATAAGATATATAACAGTTTATATAACAGTTATATAAGAGTTATATAACAATTTCTTTAATAGACGAAATTTCATTTAAAAATCCAATTCAAAGATAGAAAAAGAATTATTATTCGCTTACGTTGAACATGATCAAAATTTGTTTATCAAAAATAACGCCGTTAGTAACGAAATGAGATAAGAAATAAGAGATAAAAGAAAAAATTCTCGAAGAATATCTTGAAATATCATAGTAAAGAGATTATATTTTTATGATTGATAAACCAACATATACGATATTTTATCACATGTCAAAAGCAGAAACGTAAACGACGGGTCAAATGCAACAACGGGATCGAAAAAAATTATTTTATTAAATAAGTATACAAAAAATGAACGATTAGAGCTGGATTACGATTGGAATTGAATTATTTCATATGCATATATAAGAATACGATTTTGTTAAGAAGAAGTAAAGAACAAATATCTTTAAGCAATAGTACGTATATTATTAAAACAAGGAGGAGGAAGAAGAAGAAGGAAAACCACAAATACAAAGAATTTCTTAAAAAAATAATATAGACATATCTTATCATCTGAAAATCATTGATAACTCCTTTCGATATAATAGAAACGAACGCGCTATTAATAAAGGAGAAAATGCATTGTATAAAAGATAAGTATTCGTAATATAATAAGCAATTTGAATTGCTTCAATAGAATAGCTTTTAAAAGAAGTTGTATTTTTGCAACTCAACGTTTATATATACCGAGTACGTATACAAAGAAATGCGCGAAGAACGAAATTTCTTCGAATAAAATTATAAATTATCAAATTCCTTATGATCCTTGATATATTCTCATTTGTATATTTTATAAGCATCATTGTGTGTGTGTGTGTGTGTGTTTTTTTCTTTTTTTTTCTTTTTCTTTTTTTTTTTACTTACAAACATCTTAACCATACTGTAGATTATCATACGAGAAGCACTTTTTTTTTCTTCCTTTTCATCGCATTATAGATTAGCTCATCTCAATATTATAATATCTTTCAATCGCTTGTATAAAATCTTATAACTTTTTTTTACTAACCCCCTTATGTATTTATGTATTAAATATGTGTTTACGCATGAAACTTGAGGACATATAACTCCTCGGCAAGTTCGATTCTCAGCCTGTCAGACAGAAGATTCTAAAAGATGATCATCTTTCTTAACGTCATCTAGTTTAGCCGGTTTGTATAACGAACGTTATGGAAAATTGCTACATATAAAAAAAGAAAAAAAAAAAAAAAAAAAAAAAGGTATAAATTTCCTTAAACTTCGCTGCATGCCATCGCACTTGCGACTTGTTATTATTCACAGATTTGTATATATAATATTGCTAAATATTGTATACGATGGCCGCCTTCACCATTAGAATTTTAAGGATTTTGCAAACAATGCTGCCGTAGCTTGTGCCTTATCGCCATTAAACCTACGCAGTTCGCTAATAACCTGGGCTCTACTGAAACCTAAAGCTTCAATTTCTTTAACCGTTGCTTCGGTAAATGGATCATGCGAAAAAATGGTAGTTTCTAACGTGGCCAGTCTGTTGGATGAAGATGATGCACCAACGGAATTGCTGTGACCCTGGATATCTGCACATAGGCACATGTACGATAATATATCGTCGACATCGTCGTACTATACTTGAAATGTCCATATTACTATCGCATACATATTATGGTATAAGACCACATACCATGCTGTTGTCTTTGCTTCTTCGCATCTCTTGTACTATCTTCCAAAGCCCTGTGCAGATCCCTATCGTCCAGTGACTCATCGCTGTTACCACTCAATCTTGCACATTCTGGCAAATCGCCTATAGAAAAATATATAAAAATAGATAATATAGAAAAGTGGCAAGCTGATGGAAAGATCATTCGTAATTGTCAAATGAGAAACGTCAATCGTAGTCTAACCTTCTGCTAAAAATGGAGTTTCAGTTCCAGTAGTTCCAATTTTCAATAAATTTTTCTTTAAGTCTATGCAGCACTGATGCCTTTTCAACATGTCTAAACCAAGTAACATATCCATTCTTTGTTCTTCGAGTACGCTAAAAGATGTCGTAAGATGGTCATTGCCAATTTGAATTTGTACCATATGAATGCGTCCAATGATGCGTTGGACGCCAACGCCCTTGGCGACTCCAGCCCATCTAGTGTCGACCAGACGCATAATGTGACACCTCTCTGCGCAAGCCGCGGACATTATCGTCGTTTGTGCACCTAATCACATAAACGATACTTTTAAGCTCAACTCGTCGACGACGATTATTATAATACTTGACTATTTCGAATTATTGATAAGCGCGTCTTTCGTATTACCTTGAGGATTTAACAAAGAAATAACGAGATGACTCAAGGTAATGGTGTTACGTAAATATAGAAAACCAGTAAATCGAATGAAAAAAATTTAAAAATAAATTCGTTCATGCATCCTTTCTTTCAGTTTTTCACACATTTAGTCCATTATATTCTCGAATTAAAACGTTAAAATATACCTGAGTCAATAAATGCTTTAACAGGAAATCCATTTACTTTGCAATTAATATACAACATAACAACGGTGCCAAATGTTTCAGGATTATATTCCATTGCTGCTTCCATATTGGCTTCAATGTTTTTCTGCCTAATTTCTTCTGCGATCAGTCTTTGCGCTTCGGTATCTAACGGATCCGCATTCATCATTCTTAATCTTTGCACTTGGCGTTCTTCTTTAACCTTGATTTGTTCCCTCAGTACAGTTGAAAATCTATCTATAATTTTTTTCCCTTTATCTATATTATGCGTGCTTGGAGATGAAAATTATCATAAATATTATAATAATTTACCTAAATTACCAGACAAAAGGGCATCCGCGAGTCTAGGATTATTTTGCTTGAGTAATGCCAACTGATCTGGATTTGCTAAGAACATGTCTCTTATCATGGCTGGATCATCCTCGCTACGTGGATTTTGTACTCTATGAGCAGTAGTACTATTTGTAGTTGGAATTTGCCTATTGTTCGATGTTCCTGGTACTCTGATGGAACTGAAGTCCAATGTAGGAATAACTAAAGTAACAAGCTTTGAAATTCAGTTACCTTTCTCTTTGCTACAGAATACCTACTTATAATTATAAATTCTATACTCTAACAAAGACTTGTATATATATACATACTACATTCAAAATACAAGACGATATACGAGAGAGAGAGAGAGAGAGAGAGAGAGAGAGGGGGGGAGTAGGGAGGCGGGGGGAGAGAGAAAGAGAACTGAAATTCCTCGATTTCTTTCATATAAGTATGAAAAAAAGATCAAAAACTGAAATCGAGAGGCTAACCTCTTGTCGGAACACGGTCAATTAGCGTTTATATGCTGACCTCCGTTAAAGGGGTTAACGTTCAAGTCGGAGCCACTCTGATGCATGTGTTGAAGGATAACGGCGTCACCATCACGAATCCCATGGTCCTTAAGAGACTTCTTATCGTCCATTAATGGTAGGCCGTTGAAGGCAATGACGATCTCGTGAGCCGGTACGCCGCTCTCGATTTCGCAAAAGGCCTTAAAGTTCTCCAATTCGAGATCTTCACTGACATCCAAGACAAAGATATCGTCACTTAACGTTGTAACCGTCACCTTCATGTTTCCAAAAGTTGTTGCCTCCTTTCTTCTCTTTTCAGACTCGTCCAGACTCGCGTCCTAACAGCAACCAAAAGTAAAGCCAAAAAATATGAAAAAATGCGGGAGAAAATATTAAAATTCGAAAGAAAGGTCGATTTGGGAAAAAACGCGATTTTTCAAAAAAAAAAAAATTGTGTGTGTATATGTGTATGTGTGTGTGTGTGTGTGTGTGTGCGTGCGTGTGTAGCCACCGCTTGTGAGAGCCGGGCTAAGGGAGGGGAGGATGGAGTGATAAACAGTTTTCTGGGATGTAAACACAATCCAGCTCAGCAAAAACACGCGACTCCACGTTCTCTCGAGATTCGAGAATGATGACAATCGACTAATCGATTCTATCGAATTATGATTGAGAACTATCGACAGTCGACTGTCGTTAACGAGTAGCGCGAATATTTAAATTTACCTTCACGTACACACACGTGCAACAATTATCTTTCGACAAAGTATCTAATGTACGCGGAATGAAATAAATTAATATTGAAATGGTATAGGAGACTTTTAATTATCATATTGCATGTTAATTGTATTTATTATTGTTTATGACTTTTAAGACAATACGCGTACCGATTATCTCGGTATTTTACCACTGGACGTATTATCAAAGAAAGATAATTCACAAGCGAGAGACTGAAAAGTGAAAGACTCGAAAACTGCAGTTACTCTAAAATCGCGCGATATCCAATCGTTACGTAGAGTAGGTTTGAGGGGGAAATAATCGAAGAAGCCTATACCAACGTAGACGGCCACGCTTTGTACAAATGGTAGAGAACGATCTTCAATTTTTAATTTAAAATTCAAAAGAAGTAGATTAAAAAGATTATATTTACAATATTATACAAGAATGACTCTTATGTGTTAACTTTAATAGCCATATTTATCGTTTAAACTGGTTTTTCCATCTCCAGTTTGATTTTGTGGTGGAACCCAGGTAGAGTAATTCTCATTGTATACGTCCTTGTCATAAATCTCTTTTACTTCTTTTTTCGTAACTTTCTTCGATTTTTTTGTAGACGATCGATCGCTCGAAGAAACATTAGTAGTATCCTCGTATAAAGTAGTTTTTCCAAAGCTTAGATTTTCTACAGAAAGCAAATTGTCCACCACTTCTCTGACACTTATAACTTTCGGAATTTCTGTCTCCTCTCGACGAGAATCTAAATTATTCGAAATCTCTTCGGTACTAGTTTTCAAATTATTATCCCCTTCGTTGTTCTCCCTTCTTGATTCTTCTTCATTCAAACTATTATAATCATTTTGCTTGGATTGTGAAATATTATTATGAGGCCCGATCGTCGTTTCCTATAAAGTTCCAGGCGTATCGTTACACAAAGTTATAATTTATTATTATTAAATACTTACGGTAAATAAAAACGATCAATAAAAGATAAAATCGATCGTCATTACGTACATCATTTGAAATTTGACGATTCTCCCTTTGGTCCATGCTTTGATCATTATCGAAGATTTCAATTGACTTCTTTACTTCGTTCAATGGTACTATGTGGATGATTAAAGGAGGCAAATTGGTAGGTCGTAAGGGATTTAATAATTTTATCAATTTAGCCTCTTCTTGGCGTAAATCTTGTAATTCGATTTTCATTTTACGTTTATCAGCTTTGCTCAAAACAGTTGCATTTAAAGAGGACATGAAAGCATCTAATGTATCTTCATCCGCATCCTCTACGCTTTTCGAAGATTCATTCTCAAACTTTTGCGACCTCCTCATGCATTCGACCAAATCGGTTATCTTTTTTACAACTGTAGTATGCTTTTCCATCTGCATCAATTCCAACGACAAACATTAGACAAGATTAAAAAAGACATAAACCTAAGATACATAATATGAAATATCTTTTGTATAATACCAATGAATTATACGTGTCTTCTTCTTGCGGTTCTAATTTTCCTGCTAATCTCATTCTTCGTTTACGCTTCTTTTCTATAGAACCCGTCCTATCAAGGAAATTGTCTTCGTCCGAACTATAATAATCATCTTCTTCCCAGTTTTTCACTTTTCTTTTCCTACCTTCTATAATATTTATTATACAAGCATTATAATACATCGTTATTTCGTAGATACTTTTTAATCTATTGAAAATAAGAAAACTTTTTTTTAACGTACCATGAGTCGCTTGTCTGAGTAATCCGTATCTATCTAAAATCTTACACGCCTCTAATGCGCACTGAACGACACATTCTTTCTTCTTTCCCTTAACGAGAGCCTCGGCCCTAACCGTGTGTCCGGCAATACTCTCGATTGGCAAACTAGTAGAATATGGACGTTTAATTGTCCTTATTAACACACGATTCTGCTTCTATTAGGATTTGTAAAACAAAAAAGTACTTACTCGACCCAACAAAGAAACTGTGCAAATCCTTTTTCTTCCGTGTGATATTGCAAGTCATATCCTTCGCGTTCGAACCACCCTCTCAAGCTTTTCTTAGGATCGTTAAGGTAAAGTTCCTCGTTATTTGTAGCAGCATACGGATTTTCTGTTAGATCCGTTTCCTCATCCGCGTCTTCGCCCATACCCCAATCAATTCCTTCATTTTCTTCTACATCCTCCCTTTTTAATCTTTCCTCTTCTATCATTTTCGAACGCTGCGCCGCCTTTATTTTCTCTCGTTCCTGTATCTCTAACATTCGTTTTTCCTAAAACATCGTAACAATGCTTATCCTAATTGAAAAGGCAATAAAAAAAGAAAATATATATATATATATATATATATATATATATATATACATATATATTTATATATAAATTGTTATTTTAGAAGATTCTCAATACCCTTAATTCTGTAAAGGACAATTCGGATTCTTCCTCTTTAGTCTCGTGAAGAGCTTGCAATATATATTTCCTTGCGCTACAACCAAATTTAATAATGTGACTATCGTACAGTCTCACGTAAGCATTAGGAGGTACTCGATTTCCATTCCAGTAAGTCCCATGAGTACTTCCTAAATCATATATATAAAGTCCTTTAGAATTGCTTTCATCTTCTATACCTCTGTATTGGATGACCGCATGAAACCTTGAAATAGTTGGATGTGCAAGGGATATATCGCAATTTGGTAATCTCCCAACAACGTGATAACTTTTCTCAGTTAAATCGATAGTTTGAATGATAACGCCGGATTTCAATACTTCCAATTTATACTCGTCATCCGGTTTTGTACCCCAACAAGGTTCCTGATACTTCAAAGCTATTGTTTTGTGACTTTTCAATGAGCCAGTGATGGCTTTTTCGTTTGAAGACATCGTATGCTTTGCGCTTGACATAACCTTATCCAACGGAGCGTTCGATTCTTTGTCATTTTGTTCAATCTCTTGTTCAACTTTTATAATCGACGATATCTTCTTGCGTTTTCCACGTCTTGGGCCAATTATAATGGTTGGTTTTTTAAACTCTACTTGCACAGTAAGATCGTCAACTTTTTGATTTAGCTCCTTGGAATTCATCCCTATCCCTGCGTTAATATTCTCGGATTCAGTTTTAATATTATCAGGATCTCTTTCCATAGGATTATCCTTCTTTATATCGCAATCTATATTTGACGAATCGATCGTTTCTTTTTCATCTCTATGCTTTACTGCGCGCCTTTCTTTATTTGACACTTCCACGTTAATCTTCTTGTCTTTGAAGTTACTTTCTTCATTATCGTCTAAATAATTTTTCCCCAAGCTGTTATCCTTCTCCTCCATAATTCTCCTTAGTTATATCTTTTCACTTGTAAAAAGTGAATTTGTCGGTAATCCTTTTTTATAATTAACTTATGAAAATACGTAGTTTACTTGTCACCAATTATTATATTATAATTGATATATTTACTAGGTTATTATACTATGCGCATTATTACATCTAGTAATGGACGCGCTATCACATTTATACATTAATACAAAATATATCGTTATTATATTTGTCACATAAATGTATTTCGTAGACCGGCTATGATGCTTTACCGACTTAACAAATACCTTTCGGTATATATTCCTTCGAGTGCTTCCTTTTTTCCTTATGCTTTTTATTTTTTCTATCCTTTTACTTTAGAGTTCTTCCGTTCGCTGCGCCATCTGCATTGGATACGATATGAAATTAGGAACGTATCGATGTGTGCACTTTGTCCAACGCCGAGAGAAAACCTGACAACATAGCCAATCATATTCTCGTTATTACGTATTTATTTGTAAATGATCAAAAGTCTAAAGATGATTCTCAATCTTTCGAAGATTAAGTTGGAAGAGAAAAGTCGAAAGTGTCTTATTTTTAGGTTAGAAAAAGTTTAAAGAGATTTCGCATATTATATATTTCGTATAATACTATGTAATTGACAAAAAAGGTGTATATCTTTGGTTATTATCATTCAACATATTTCTTGGCAACATTCCCTTGTTATTTAAATTTATTATCATGGAATTTCTGCAAAGTATCGGAGTTGGCGTGAGGTCCGTAGATGATCCTTTCTTTAATGAAACTTACAAATATTGCAAGATCTTTCAACGGAAGGGAGTCATAGCTGAAGATGAGGAAGATTTATGCCATGATCTGTAATATATACATACACACACACACACACATATATATATATATATATATGTATAAAAGACAAGGCTAAAATACCCCGTCAATTGATATTAATTGTTGTTTCTATTTGTTTCAGTATTGCAGAGTTTTCTTGTCCGATTTCACAATGTACGGCGTTATTTAAAACTTTAATAGACTTTGAAATGCATTATAATTCCTGTCATCGTTATATTTGCTTGGAGTGTAAAAGGACAAAGCCCAATCCTAGGTTATTAGAAATTCATATCCAGGAAACGCACGATACGTTTTTCAAGCTTTTATCAGAAAAACAACCGATGGTATTTGTGTCTTACGCGTCTCATTTATATTTTCTCTAACACGGTATGAGTTAATAATAAATTTATTTTTTTAGTACCAGTGCTACGTTTCTCAATGTAACGTGAAATTCAATAATCCGAACGAAAGGCTGGATCACTGCGTCAATGTACATAAATATCCAAAAAATTGTCGCTTTGACGATGTATCGTACCGCAAAGCAAAAGAAAATAATAGTAATAAAATGGATATCGATATAACAGAAAGGAAAGAGAAAATAAAGGAGAAAATTCGATTAAATAAGAATTCAAAAATTAGAACATTTGATAAAACATTCAAAATGAGTGACGTAGAAAGGTCTAGCGCAACTTGTTCCACGACTTTTACTAATATCAATGAGAATGCATCTTTAATGTTTGTACCTAGACAAGTGGACAGATCTTATGCGACGACGCTTAGCAAAAACCAAACTAGAAAACGAAATGTTCTCGAAGCAGAATGCATGTCGGATATAGCGCAATTTCTACCCGATTAGAAGTTATTTTTTAAACGTATGAGGTAACGCAAATGTTTTCTAAGTTTTATATTTTAAAACAGACCCGGTCATTTTCTTTGTATAAAAGATATATGCTTATAATTTAACAAGATAGACACAAAGTGATATTTTAAAAAAATATTTTATTATAAATATATATTAAATATGTATAATAAAATAATGTGCGTGCATATATACATATATATATATATACACACATATGTATATGTGTGTATATAAACACATATACATATGTATGTATGCATGACGTGTGTACATATATATATATATGTGTGTGTGTGTGTGTGTGTGTGTGTGTGTGTGTATATGTACACAGCGTAAGAACTAGCTACATAATACGGTAATTCATTTTATTTACATGTCACTAAATGCAACTAAACAATTATTACACAGGATTGTGTAAAGAGAAGTATTGTGGAGCTTGAGAAATAATTAATAATAAGGAGAACATTGGCAATAAAATTTAAAACTTTACACTATTTAAAAAAAAATCGAGAATTTGAAATCGAACCTAATTTTGTTGGTTCCCATGTCGATTGTCTTTCGCTTAGGCTGGACGACGTAATAACTTGTCGAATAACCTTTTGCGAACACACGTATGTATATATATATATATATATACGCACACGTGTGCATATATGTATATGTATATTATGTATATATACAGAAAATGATCGATTATTTCCTTGATAAGTTGGAAATGAAGGGACAACAGAATGTAAAAAACGACACTATTTTCGTATCAAAATTCGATGAAATTCGATAAAAAGTTCTACGTCGAGTATATCATACACTTGAGCTTAGCAGTTTCGTTCCTTAGCGCGGCTAATTCGTACTTGAGTCTAATATTTTCCTGTTCAAGGAAAGCTGCTCTTATCGCGATCTCGTCTTCTTTCGCTCTCCTAGCATCTCTCGATCGTTTAGCTGCTTCATTATTTTTCTTCCTTCTCTCCCAGTAAGCAGCGTCCTTCTCATCCACAGTACTCGTCGGCAGTATCGTTGTATTTTTGTTAGATCTGCGCATTTTAAGATTCGTCGTTTCGTTCTGACGTCTAACGTTTTCGAGCATGCGACTTCGAAATTCTGAGTATGTTTCGTTGGAATTTTGATTATAAATCATGTCCGGCGTGTTCACCGTGAGAGCCAGAGGATAAGCTTTAAAAGGCCTAGGTATTTTTCTTGGAGTCTCCGCCGGCGATACGGCGTTAGTCGACATCGTCGGTGTCGTCGTAGTGGGCGATTGAATTTTCGCCCTTACTTTTTCTGTCATCCCGTTGGAATTTGCCGTGAGCAAGGTGGGTAATATCGGTGGCACTATCGGCACGTTAATCGGCAAAAGAGAATATCTGTCGACGTTGTCATCGACCACTATCGACGCACTACCACTATCTTCTTTGAACTTGATTTTCTTCGGCGATTCCGATTCCGATGGCGGGGTGACCATGAAACTGCGACCTTCGAAGAGACTTTTGCTATCCGTTCTTCTATTAGTTTTAACTACGTCCGTAGATAGTCTCGTTTCGGTCGACGACTCTAGTATATTTTGGGTTACTTCACGAACGTCATTTTCGCTGGACGTGGCCAAAATGAGAGTTTTCTTGCACGACAAATCTAAAACCGGTTCTTTCTCTTCCAATGGTGATGGTTCTTTTAAACTACTTCGTAGCGATAAACGGGATCGAAAGTCGAGCGGCTGATGTGTCGTGGACGAGGAGTCTTTTTTCCCTTCGAAAGAAGGCAAATAATTTCGAAAGTCTAAAGGTTGTATCTCGTTCGCCAAATCTTCCATCTTGGTCTCCATCTCTCGGGTCTTTCCTTATTCGTCTTTCGTCTTTCGTCTTTCGTCTTTCTGACGAAAAAATCCAATTTTTCAATTGACTCGTTTTCAATTAATTCGTAATTATCGATAGAAATGAATCACACGATTAATAAATACGATATGTTATTTTGAGATTAAGTCGAAGGTGACTTTTACAAGCGCTACGTCTATTGACAACAACTTGCACGATTAGATCGAAAATATTTGTCTATTACATCATTTGTATATATCATTATTATATAGTTCGCAGCTAATTATAATGATTGTAAATAATGATTTAATACCTTTACGTAGAGAATAGAGAGGAGAGCACTCCTTGAGGTCTTAATGATTATTAATCTGAGGTTACACCGAAAGTACTCTTATGAAAACACTAATGATACTTTCTAAAGCGATGATAGTCACTAAGACGAAATAAAATGACTTTGGACATTGAGAAATCGATCTGCTGAAGAGTTCTACGGTGCTTACTACGGTCTTCGCTCGAAGATTTACCAAGATCGTTTAAAACGAGAGGGGATGTTCGTTCGCTTATATACCCGACAACCCTTGTACGTTGCATGGGTAGGAGATTTTCTTAGAAAATGTGGTGGGGCGTAGATCATGGGGAAAGCCTTAAGTAGAAATAGATAGGATGTTGTTAAATCTCTTCTAAATGTTTTGTTTACAAACTATTCATAGTCTCTGTAAATCTCGTTCATGTCCCTCGTTCATGTTATTAAGCGATTCATCCTCGATCGATCTTAAATGAAATTGTTATTTACGTAATATTATCTAGCCTGTTAATTATTATTTTATAAGAATCGATAATAGATATATACATACATATATATATATATATATATATATATATATATATATATATATTTATATGTATGCGTCTACCGGAAAATGAAAACTGTGCGCGTGTGTCCTGTATACCTGTAGATAAAGACAACGAAGGGAAGTGTATTTTACAAGGAGTGAAAAGTATTGTAATAAAATGTCTCAAGGGAACGATAGGTCCAATTCTACGACGTGCCGCAAGATTTGTCAAAAATTTCACTGGCTGATGGAGATTCATTTGTCAGGGGTCCTTTTAAATTTCACGCAATAGCGAGGAGATCACGAAAATCTATAGTTGAGAGACGAAAATTTTCTTAGCTGCAATAGGACGTCACGTTGTTCCAGGTCGAGGAACTCGTTAAATACCCTACGTTCAACCCTTTCGCTCGCTCGTAAGCCCTCCTACCACGTTTTTCCTATATTCCATTGGTAATAATACGTCGTTTCTTTATTCGCGTTTTTGTGATTTATGACCGATAGGACATCTATCTTCTTTTTCGGACTTGTGTTTCACAAATTAACAGACTTCATTCTTATTCGATGAATCCGATGTATTCTCCTTCTTCTCGAGCATATGTCGAGCAAAATAATCTCTCTTTTTTTCTCTCACCCAAATCTCTCTGATCCTAGATCTTTCTTCGTAATTCTTTCGTTTACTTTCCGACTTGACCGAAAGTAAGAGATCGCGGAATCCTTATCTTTCCCGTTATATGATAACGATAAATTTATTCATCGTCGCGAGTTGCATCTCATCACTTTGAGAAAAGGAAAAAAGAGAAGAAACCTGTCTGTGTTTGTTTATAAATTTTTCCTCCCCGTTTGTTCCTCTCACATTCCAATTCGCATTGAAATGCGAATGTGAATGGGTCCCCTACGACCCTGGTTACCCTGCTTACTTCCCAGTTTTAACCGTGCTTCCTTTTTGTTGCGTTTGCGATAATCATATTTTCCATTCGCCGTACGCTCCGCGTACGCCGTAGAGACGAAGCACTTCGATTCGCATTTTCAATGACAATAGCGCCTACGTGATTTTTCAATAGCTTCTCCTCGAAAACTTTCTTTCCGTCGTTCGTTATCTACAATCTATTATTGCTTCTTAGCTCATTTTCCAAGATAATTCCCTATCGCAATTCGACGATTTTGATGCCATAAATGCTGACCGTAACGCATTGAATCAAAAAAATGTCACAATTACGTACCCTCGATTATTCTCATCGTCGATTGTGATATTTAATGATTATACAAATGATTCCAATTACGTTCAAAACATATATGTGACAAAGTGGAAGAAGACTTATATGTGGAAAAGGACAATGGCGATATAAAGGAAAGGGCAAGAAAAGTGGGCCGTGAAGTTTTACGGATGATTCGTAACAACACAATCTTGTGACGGACAAATTTTCTTTCCTTAATTAATATCTAAGTCGTTCGCCATTGCATAAGAATTTTCGTATAACTTTCCGATAATGAACATATATACCTAAGGACATTTAAAAATGTAGAATGCTTAGATATTAAGCAAGAATGGCTATCCCGTAGAAACGAGATATTGCTAACAATTAAAGGACGTAAAAGTATTTCTTTATAATTTGCTGTAAGCTTTGGTCCTTGCGTAAGGCATAGCCAGTATATAAAGTCGACAACATTAGACATTTCTTCTACAATATTTAGTTTCTTTCAATAAATCATCTTGCGCTCCATAATTTATAATATGTTACGTACGTTTACGCAAAGATGCAGTTGACGGAGGTCAGACGATTTGAAGAATTAATCGAAAAGAAGGATTAAAGAGAAAAGAAAAGAAAAGAAAAGAAACGAAGAAGAACATTAAGGAAAGGAACCTAGTAACCTAGAAGATATTAAGGAAAAACGACGGGGCATCTCGGTAATTACTCAACTTAAGATTTATCTTCTATGGTCATGGACCACCGGCCGTAAGTTTTGCCAACAGACTTTTCGAGATTTGCATATTTCCGGTCTTAGCACAAGCATCTTTCCTTTCCTTTTCATTTATTGGGCATTGCTAAGTGACACGCCCTTCTCAAAAATGCGCGATTCCTCTCTGAGAATACTTCCTTTCTTGTTCCGTATTTCTTCGTTCGATCGTACACATCTGAATGTATACGAAACGCCTGCCGGCCGATCGGTCATCTACGATCGCAAAAGATGAATCTCGAACAATCCATGAGAGGGACCACAAAGATCCTTCGAAATCATGGTCCTGACGACAAAAACTTTCGAGAGCAAATCTCGCGGTGTCCCGTTACTAAGCCGTACGGTAAAGAGTTGACACAACCCCGAGCGAAAAGCATTTAGAAGATTAAAGAAGGTAGTTTTGAATTTCACGTTTCTCGATCTTTTAAACAAAGAACGAAGAAAGTATGTAGATCGATTATGTATGACCAAGCGTACACCGTTGTGTATCTGTTCGAAAAGCGGAAAGACGGAATTTTCCAAAATGTTGTTATTTTTATTGGCTCAATTTGTATTTTTTTCAGCCTTGATTAAGGACTTTCCTTCAAAAAGAAAAAAAAAAACCAGGGGAATGAAGGAAAAAAATGAATTCAAGCAAGGTTTACCACATCTTCCAATATAAAGACGAATAAAACAATAGACTTTTCCTTCAACATAGATAATTATTTACGTTACACTTAAACTTATTTGGCGATATATGCTTATAAAGATTCTCAAATTCAAAGCGACAGCGATATGCCGCGCAATTAGGGTATGCTCGTGCTTCGATAATTTCATAATTATCGGTGTTGTGGCATTCAAGTATTGGAAAAAAAAAAACATTTTCGTCGGGTTATCCACGATGACGTCAGCTTTACCATCAATATCGAAAAACTGAAGAAAACACACGGATGCGATGTTGGCGCGTGTAGGCCTCGTGGCTATCTCGGTATCATCGTCATCCCTTCTTAAGAGATGATTTTGGGCGTGCTCAGTATGGGGTTCTCATCTTCGGACAAGTATCCTACGTCTTTCCTACGAGACTCGAAACTCCTGACAAAAAGCACGTATAAAAGTATCCCAGTAAGATTTCTAAATAATATTTTTCACTTCTCGTAATCTCGCCACTTCAGTTACATTTTCTTTTGTCTAAAAATATAAAATAGTTTTACGAGCGAACACTGTCATTTTCCAAATGAAATGCAAAAATTCAATGAAATGTTCTTAACATTTTATATACAAATGCGACATCCCTTTTAAGATATATATATATATTTATATATAAATATTGGCAGAAATCAGAACAAAATCATAAAATCGTTTAATTGTAATAAATCGTATACATAAATAAAATCGTTGACAACAAATTATTTCGTAAAACTGGTTGAGAGCCAGTTTTTCGAAAATATCTAGATGTTGGTCAGGATGTCATATGGTCAATAGGCAGGCAGTGACCGGCGTGGGTGAACGTGGAAAGTGCAGATGCGTAAAAGTCTGCGTGCAACCCTTCCGTAATAACGTCGAATAGACGAGGGCTGTACCAGAACCCTTTCTCCATTGTGGCATCTAGATGTCAGAATGCATTGAACGTGGGTTCACGTCTATGTAAAGGACTAACGTTTACCGTTAGATGGAAATACAGGAGAATACGGTATTCGAAATGTGTGTCAAAGGGTCGCAATTTACGGGCGCATCAGGATTCAAAAGCACATGGCCACGCCAAATTTATACTCGTAGCCGAGATCGAATAGCAAAATAACTGTACTTTACTTTCGTCACACATTTTGAACTCTTCCACAGATTTTATATAATATATACATATATATATATATATATATATATATATATATATATATATATATATACAAAATCTATGCATATGTATACATTTTATTATTATTACAATATTTTACTTCAATTATCAAGCACACGTACACTAAGTTTTCTTTACATGCGGAAGATCATATTTTCCACGAATGCATTTTATTTTAACACCGGGCGTATCTTGCAATCTTCCCACTTCACATAATACGACATTGTGTTCTTGTAAATTATGACCTATTCCTAAAGCCAAAATGGTCAAGAAGAGAGAACTATCATAAATATTGGCTTAAAGGTTCAATAAAGAATAAAATTACTCTTACCAGGTACGTAGGCAGTCATTTCCTTTCCGGTGGATAATTTAACGATAACACATTTCCGATTAGCAGAATTTGGCTTTTTTGGCTTTTTAATAACAGTTTTCAGAATGATGCCCTTCGCAAAAGGCTTCCCATTGAAAGGATTCTTCGATTTCTTTACTTTCTTATCTTTTAATCCCATTTTATGTAACCGCTGTAACGTAGTTTTACATCTGATCTGTTCGAAAACTGAAAAATATTGATAAACGAAGTTGATGGTCGATTAACGAGATGCCACCGACTATTACTCAATCATACTAAAACCGTTGTTGTTACGTGTCGCAAGAAACATTCGTAAAATTCCAAAATCGCTTTATGACGAACTTTAACAGCCTTGTTACGTGTCCCAATCTCTCTCTCTCTCTCTCTCTCTCTCTCTCTCTCTCTCTCTCTCTCTCTCTCTCTCTCTCTCTCTCTCTCTCTCTCTCTCTCTCTCTTTCTATTAACCTCTCTTAATAGCTTCGTAGATAAGATCGAGAAATTTTGTTAAAGTTTCGTCGAATTGAAAGAAGGAAAAAATTATGACTACACAGTCACAATCCAGACGGAAAGAAAGGAAAAGACATTTACGGGAACCTGTATGGTTCAGTCACGGGGGCTATTGTCAACAAGGGCAACGAAAAACGAAAAAGAGATCTAGTGGGCGGGGTAACGGTACTGCCCGAAACCGAAAACTCTTTCGCAAATAATCTTATGAACCTAGAAGAAGAGGGTTCTTTAGCATGGCATCGAAATATCAAATATGATGGACGTTTGACATCTGCAAGCCGCTTGCAGCAAGAGCAGTCCTTTTTTGGTCAAGCGTGCATAAGCTTATTAAGTAACATTGTTACAAACGCTACGTCTATGTTCAACTTATACACGACGTTCGTTTCTTTTGCGACAAAAAAGTCCCTTGCAAGCCTTCTCGTAATCTCGAAAACTTCAACTCTATCGTGAAAATTCACACTTATTTGATATAGCGATTGAGGAAGAATATATAATGTAGAGTATAAAGTGGAAAATCTAACCCTGTCTAATATAATTTTCTTTAAATTGTGCTCCTGTAAGTTACAACGAAGGACGCAAATCAGAACGACATTGTGATTTATACGCGTGAAGGGGATCGTTCGACTAAAATATTCCGAATGACATGACAATTTTCGAATTGTCGTCGGTTTTTGATCGTTTTTTTTTTCTTTTTTTTTGTTAGACCGTACCATTGTTGTTCATTTGAAAATCTAGCTGACCAGCGTCCGAATTGTCAATACGACAGATGTCCAAAGATTGGCACTGCTAATCCGACCTAACTCGGACTCAACTAAGCCAAGAGACCAGCAGAATCTATTATGCACGGCAAAGGCAACCCCTTTTTTCCAAGATCAATGCGTAAGATTACATAGCAAAAATTTTCAACGTCGCAAAAGTTTTCAAGTTACGTCTTTCTTTTTTTTTTCTTTGTTGCAAAATTTGAAATAAGAAAATTTCCTTCGAAAGTCGTTCTCCCTCGAGACGACTATTTCACATTTAGCATGAAACTCCGATTAATCGCTAGATTGTCCTCTAGAAACATCTTAAACATCTTAAACAATGAAATCATTGTTAGAAGATGGCTTAAAAAAAAAAAAAAAAAAAAAAGAAAAAAAAAACTAGCCTAAGGATAGCGCCTTACAACGAGATCGATCTTACCAAAGATCAGACTTTAACGAGCTTGAGAAAATCGCTGATTCGGGACGCAGCCGAAGATGAATGAAATTCGAATGTTGAATGATTCCTTCGATTCTTGGAGATTTTTCAAGGAAAATGTGAAAGAGAAGGGTGTTACCCTTAGCCATACCCATAACGGAACTCTAACAACTGGTCAACCGCAAATGAACACGTCACCCCCCCTTTCGATTCCCACCGATCGCCCATAATAGCTTCCCTATTTCGAATCCTTTCTTACGGTGCGCCCTTTTTGCATTTCGAGATCTTCATCCCGTACGGATGAAAGAGGTAAAAGCTGCGTGCTCTTTTGCGGACCACGCGCATTTCACCGAAAGAATACGGTGCTCCTTTCTACGATGGGAACTTGTCTCTCCTTAAGTCGACCACCTATCCCTTTATCTCCCCCCACCCCTCTCTCTCTCAGGCTACTCCAGCGAGTATATGGAAAAAGATATGCATCTGTTAGAAAGACTACAAGAGCTAGAAATATTACTGACCGATCTTTAGGAACGTCCGGTCTTGTTATATCTAATCGTAATCGACTCGACGATCTTTGCGACGATTTTTACGCAAACTCAATTTGGATTCATTCAATTCTATAAATTGTATTCATCGTCATATACAATATTAAACGTGGTAGAAGTTTAGTTATCATATGATATTTATTGTAACGAAGAGATATTTTACCTTGTAACATATTGCCTAAGGATGCTCTCATATTATTTACTAAACCGCCTGTAAAAAATAAGTACATAAATCATTATTCGCAGATAGACAGATATGTGATATTTAATCGAGGCCCCATTCTATGGATTTACCTTGAATACCAATATTGTCATAATGCCCTGTGACTTGGAATTTGTTGGCTGTGAAACAAACAAAAAGAATGAGGATTATTTAATAAATGCAACAGTGATATTCTGTTATCTATATTTGAATAAATCTTTGAGACAAATCAACCAGTTAACCGTTATAAATTTCTTACATTGTAGACACAAAGATATTGTAAATGAATAGATATTATTAATGATGCAACGGCATAATTGACATTTGAACGATACTTGTTCAACCAATACGAATACTCACGTTGGTCGTCTTCTATTTATTATTATGGATAAATAATGAAAAGAATATTTTTTTAAGAGGTTAGATTAGGATTTATTTTGGAGGTTAGAAAATAAAGTAAGAAATTATAGATGTAACAGAACAGTACCTCCAATGGAATTTCCTATAAAGGACTTTGTTACGTTCAGTACTTTTCTTGTCAAGACGTTCATGATGAATTTAATTAACGAATATTTCAAAACAATTATCTATCTCGCAAAAACACCGTACCAGATGCCACAATGGACGCCTATCGGCCAATAAATCAATTAATTACGGTCCGCTGGATAAAGTAGAAATCCAATTTATCTTCAGTTAATTTCATATCTCTAGACATTCCTTTCTACGATTTATCCAACGATATTAAGTCGCGTAAATAAAAGAAGTAAATAAAAGAAGTAATGATTAATTGAAGTTGATTGAAACTTACGTTCGATTAACGATAACTACTACGTGCATGTGAGAGTTCGAAGAAAATTAAATAAGATTAGAATTATAGCGAATAATATTTAAGGAAAAAAAGAAGATACATTTATAGATACTGAATAAAGGAATGAAATAAGACGATCGACAGAAATAACGCATTTATTTGAGATACGCAAACATTGATAGAAAAAATATTATATAATTATTTATAATTATTAAATATTGTCTAGGGAAGATAAGTTAGAGACCTAAGTCGTATAAACGTAGGTGAAACGACGTTGATTAAGAGTAATAATGCCGAGCTTTCTTATAGTCCGTGGTAACCGAAACCATGACCACCGAAGCCGTGCCCAAGGGCGATACCGGAATGATCAAGATACGACGTTGGATAAGCCGGGGCGCTATATCCATGAGACAACGGAATCGGTACGTTGTTGTATCCAT